GCATCGATACACACTGAACAATTTCTGGAAATTTACCCTTGATGCATCGGTGCACCTTGTATGTGCTTCAATGCACATAGCCCAGAAATCCAATTTATGCCCGAAAATCCCCTCTTTTCAACTTAATTACTTCATATATCATTCCATTTCGTATTCTTAACTTACTTACTCCTATTCAAACTCATTTATCTCGTCTTGAACCTTAATATCCTCTCCTCTTTATTAACTTCAAGAATTATACCAGATTTCCAACATATTTCAAAACTCATTTTATCACTTCATATCTCTTAATTTAACCCTTGACAAGTCAAATTTATCTTCCAATTTGAGTAATGAACTCTATTCAAGATTTCACCCAAGAACCCCAAATCTTTAATCCCTCATAACTCCATCATACTTTGATTTTAAGATAACTTAAGCTTTCCTTAAGCTTAGTTATCATCTAATAATCAAAACCTAACCTTAAAATCAACAATTAATCCATAAACAAAGAAACTCACCTTTGAGCTTGGAGATACGGGAGGAGGAAGAAGAAGAAAGAAAACTCTGGATAATTCTCCTTTTCCACGTGGTTCCTTATCTTATAAAAGAAATATAAAAATCTTACTTGTCAATTGACCATTTTACCCTTTAATTCATTCCATAATTACTAATTAACCTTCATCATATTTCCAATAAATCATTGAACTATTCAATTATCCTACTTTAATCACCAATTTCTAAAACTTTACAATTTTGTCACTAACTCGGTATTGAGGATGTTAAAAGCTAATTGGTTCCCTTCTCACTCATGAGATGACGGTGAAGGAAGATAAAGAAAGGGAAGAAAAGAAAAACAAGAAGAAGAAGAAGAAGAATGAGGACATAGGCATCAATGAAAGCTATCAAGATTCAAGTGATGAGGTGGATGAAGACGATGATGAACAAAAAGAAGAGATGGTCAAGCTCTTGAAGAAACTCAAGAGATTCATGATTTCCAAGGAAGTGAAACATGAATCAACCAAGAAGAAGAGTCCCCCGGTATGTTTCGATTGTCAAAGAAAGGGGCATGTCATGTATGGATGTCCTCTTCTAAAGAAAAAGGGGAAGAAGGCATTTGTTGCATCTTGGAGTGATGAAGATGATTCCAATGATGAAGATGAAGTAGTCAACCTATGCCTCATGACCACTCAAGAAGAATTCGAGGTATCCTCTAACTCAAATGAATTTAATTCATTTACTTTTGATGAGTTACAAGATGCTTATAATAGGTTGTATTTGGGATTTGAGACCATGAATTCCAAATATACGAAATTAATTTCAAAACTCAAAAATAAAGATAATTTAATTTTGAAAGCAAAAGTTGATTTTGAAAATCAAAATGAAATTTTGAAAAATAATTTAGAGCTTTCAAAAATCAAAATAAATGATTTAGAAAAAGAAAATTTTGAGTTAGGTGTTAAGTTTGAAAGCTTAATAAAAGAAAAAGAATTAATTTCTAAAAATAACCTATTATGTTTAAATATGGCAAAATGCTCACATTGCCATTATCATGGTCATATGAAACATACTTGTCCTTTGAAGAATGGAAAACATTTTAAAATTAGGCAAGTATGGGTTCCAAAAGGAACAATGGGCATTTTAACTAACGTTCAAGGATCCAAAGCAATTTGGATACCAAAATCTACTTAAATGTCTCTTGCAGGTGTGTGGAAGCAATTGTGATGAAAATGATGATATTCAAGATGCTCTAGCCACACATGAAAAAGGAATGAGTAACCTCTAAGCTTAATACTTTTAATTTTGGATTATTTGGTTGCTCATTTGATTTTAAGCATGCATGAGTTTTGGTTTTAAATGATTATGCATCATTGTTTTAATCTCATGTATGTTGAAAAGATGATTATGATGAACATTTTAAAATTGTAATGATTTTTCAGAATTTTTAGTTCATCATAATAAAATTTTGGTCAAAATTTGTTTTAATGCAAATGATATCTCTCTAACAATTGATATCAACTTTTCAAATACTTTGATTTTATAAATCTTTAACAAATTTTGACCTAAATTTGAATGTTTATGCATGTGGTTTAAATAAAAATGATATCTCTCTAATAATTGATATCAAAATTTTTCAAATGCATAACATTTTTAGAAAACTTTATGCATATGATCTTAAATTCAACAATTGGTATTGTATAAAGTATTTTAGTCTTGGATATATTGAATTTCATATGCTACTAACATGTTTGTTATTCTTTTTTGAAATTCAATTTTGTTTAAGTGTCAAAATCCTAAAAGAAAATTTTTATTTGGAATGCATTTATTGAGGGGGAGTTTGATTTTTTCAAATGATTTTTAAAATGTCAAATTTACTACTTACTCTCTAAAGTTATTTTGAACTTCAAAGATTAGAGTCTTTTTGATTTAACAAAAAGGGGGAGAAGTGTTAAGGTGTTAAAGGGGAGAAGTGTTAAAGTAAGGGGGAATAATTTTAAACTTTATTTCAAAATCTTAAAATTACTCAAATGTTTTGTTATATCAAAAAGGGGGAGATTGTTGAAAACATTTTGATGTTTCGATATAACAAATTAAGTTAAATGAATTTTAAGATTTTACAAAAATATTTCTAAGTATATTCGATGTAATTATTCGAATATCAAAATATTACTCCAAGTCTTTCAAAGTTCATTTTAATCCTTACTAAAGTGTAAAATTGTGTTTTATACTTAAACTATTTTAAAACAATTTTACAAAGTATTTCGAGCCTTAATCGAGCAAAAAAATATTTTCTTTTTAAAGGGTTTCAAGAAAAATCAGATTGTTCAGGGGTACAGATTCCCCCCCAGGGGTACAGATTCCCCCCAGGGGGAATGTACCGATTCCCCCATGTCTAACGGTCAAAAACAGATTACACTTAGGGAACCGATTCCCCATGAGGGGGTACCGATTCCCCCCACGCTCCAAGCTATTTTATTAATTGTTTCTCATCCCCAAACGGCTCCAAAACATCCTCAACGACTATATACGACTTCAAACACATTCCAAGCTATAAATACAAGCTAAGGACACTTGAAGAAGCAATAGAACAACTATCCAAGCAATCAAACACAAGAGAAGAGTTTTTCATTCTTATTTCATCTTTCTCTTGTATATATTTTGTTCTTGTGAGCTCAATCTTGTAAACACCTACTTTAGAGATGTTTTATTGTTTACATTTCTTATCCTTTTGTAAAGGGGAAAGATTCTAGCTAATCTCGTATAAAAGCTAAGGAAATGTTCTAGTTTAGCCCGGAAAAACTAGGGAGTTTGTAAGGTTACTCTTTATCCTCAAAAGAAAGAACAAATTAGTGAATTTGTTGGAAAATCCTTGGTGAGGAGCTAAGGTAATGGATTTAGACTTTGTTTGAGAAAGTTGAACCACTATAAATCGCTGTGCAATTCTCTATCTTTCAATCTCCTTACTCCCTAAACACAAAACCGTTTCGAACCCTCTTTACAAATCATTCCGGTTGTCGATTCGAGCTTCCGAAAATCCCAACAGATATTTGAATTAATAAAATTAATTTGACTTAGCAACTACCATTTAGGTAATGACCTAAATGGTAAAATTATAAAGAAGGACCAAAATTAACTAAATTAAAGTAAAAGGATTAAATCATACCTAATATATTAATCAAGATAAATATTTAACCTATTTTTTATGGTTTGATGTTTTCATTTCATTCATGGTTTAATTATTTACCATTAATAATTCTCTCTCTCTATATATATATATTATTCTCATGTCATTATAAAATAGTGTCTGTTCAAAATATTATCAACCACTTGAAATTTAACAATGATCGCTCATAACTCTATACACGAGGTACTCGAATTTGAGATCTCAAGGGATAATACAGATGGGCATAAGTCGAGTTAAGTTTGGTTTTTGGTTAACTTGACCCGACCCAAAAATTATACATCCTCCACTCAACTCGACCCAACCCGAAATATATACACCTTCCACTTGACCCGACCTTTTGAGATAAAATCAGAACCCGACTCAATCTGAGATAGTATATTTATTAAAAATAATATTTTCATTCAAAAAATAATATATATAGGGCTATTATTGTAATTATCCTTAAATATATAAGGTAAATTTATATTTTTTAGGTCGGATCGGGTCAGGTATTTTTCACCCTAAACCTAAATCCGACCCAATCCGAACATAACTTCAAAAAATCCGACTCGAACCTGACTTTCTTTAAAAAAATATAACCTGATCAAGTCAGAACCTATTGTGTTTAGGTCGAAATCATTTGGTTCTTGCATGACCTAATGTACTAAATGCTTAACAAATGGCCTATTTTTTTAAGGGTTTCTCAATAATGATTTAACATTTCAAAAGATGCGAATAAGGGCCTAATGTTTGGATATATGTTCAACTAAGGTTCTAACATTCCAAAAGAAATAAATACAAGCTTAAAATTTTTAAATCTGTTAAAATAAAGATCTAACATTTTAAAAACGTTTTCAAATGAAGAATGTTATTGAGAATATTAAAAATATTAAATTCTTATTGAACATATTTAAAATAAATAAATTTTTATTTGCTTTCTTTAAATATTAAATCCTCATTTAAATAAATTTAAAATTTTTAATATCCTTATTCGAGTATTTAAAAAATTCAAATCATTATTTGAGGGGTATCTAACCCTCATTTTAAACTATAGAAACAATATTTCCAAGTTATTTATTTAATTATAATTTTTTTATTTAAAATAATAAATAAAAAACGATAATAAAAAGTGGTGAATTTTGGAAAACCGAAAAGGCAAGATTCTCAACACCCACCTCCATTCCTACACTCCAAAATGTGGAAGTCAAACACTACATGGTTCCACCAATCATAATCACACATTAGAAGAATTCTTCTCTCTTATTGGTCGGTGAAATCACTTTCCTTGTCGCGCGTTTAACATACTATCAGTCCATTCCCTTCGTTCCCATAGAACACATTGGGCTCGAATGCTTTAACTTCCTCACTAGAATTTCTTCGCACCAAAAAAAAAAAAAAACTGTAACCCGCTCTTAACTTCTTCGCATGCAGTCGGAGCTCCGGCTCCTTTAACGGAGCCCTGCTCAATTATCCAAAATTTCACTTCCTTTTAGATCTCTGTCCTACTTTTTCTAATCTGATCTCAACCGAACAAAATAAATAAAACAAAGAAAATTACTAGGAAATTATATACAGTTTTTCGAAAATGTCGAAACCCTGGGGTGGCAGAGGCTCGTGGGCCGCCGAGGCCGAGCGGGAAGAGGCGGAGGAGCGTAAAGCTATGGAAGCTGCGGCCGCTGCTGGTACCACGGCTGGACCGCAGAGTTTTCCTAGCCTAAAAGAAGCCGTTAGTACGAAGCCCAAGAAGAAGAAATTGACTCTCCCGGAGTTCAACATGGGGATTTATTCGTCATCCGGCGGCGGTGGAGGAGTTGGTGTCGGTGCTAGGGTATCGGATTACAACAAGCTGACACCAGACGAGATGATGCTCCTTCCGACCCGACCCAAAGAACGTACCGATGAGGAAATGCAGTATGGCCGTCTGGGAGGAGGATTTTCGTCTTATGGTAGGTCCGGTCCATCTGCGGGTCGGGGTATTCGTGAACGTGACGGCAACGACGGGTCATGGGGCTCCGGAAGAAGGCAGTACGGAGGTTTTGATGAAGAACGACGTGGTCCGCCTTCTAGGGTTTCTGATTACGATCAGCCATCGCGTGCTGATGAGGTGAATAATTGGGCAATGGGAAAGAAAACAACTCCTTCCTTTGATTCGGGCCGGCAAAACCGATACGGTGGACTTGGAACTGGAGGAGGTGGTGGAAACTCTAAGGCTGATGAAGTTGATAATTGGACGGCTGGAAAACGGCCAATTCCGTCTCGACCTTCAACGTTTGGCTCAGGTTTTCGTGACACGGTACCTGAGCCTGATAGATGGACCCGAAGTGGAGGTGGTGGTGGATTCAGAGAGGAAATACCTAGATTTGTTTTGAATCCTCCGAGAGGGGAAGTGAATGAGCCAGCGGTTAAGACGAATAAGCCTAATCCTTTTGGGGCAGCAAGGCCAAGGGAAGAGGTGTTAACGGAGAAAGGATTGGATTGGAAGAAACTAGATTCTGAGTTTGAATCAAAGAAGGTATCTAGCAGGCCTAGCAGCTCTCACTCCAGCAGGTCATCGAGTGTACAGTCCAGCAGGTCTGAAGGTCCCCAGCTGCAAGGGATTGAAAATGTAATTAAGCCAAGGCCAAAGGTCAACCCGTTTGGAGATGCTAAGCCTAGAGAAGTTCTACTGGAAGAGCGTGGAAAGGATTGGCGGAAGATTGATCTCGAGTTTGAGCGTCGTAGGCTGGACAGGTTTCCATGTCGTTTCTCTAATCATTTTTCTCATCATTTAATTTCGAAATAGTCTTGATGTGGTTTTGGTTGAATTGATTTTGATCAGTTTCCTTCAATGTTGTTGGTACTTGGTAATGATGGTTCCGGAGTTGCTTAAGCCCTTAGCATATTTTATTAGTTAAATTGCCTTGTCTGTTACCACTTTGCTGTCATTGTTGATTGTTTATTACTCTCTAATTAGTGGGTATACTATGTTGTCTATGAGAAAAACATTTGTTACTAAAGACTTTAGAATTGATGTAGGACAGTTCAAATCTCATATGGTAAGTTTGATTATGACCTTAGGTTTATTGAATGATGTTGCACAATTATTTCTTTGGACCCATAAAATCATAGTTCATGATCAGCTTGTTGTCATGAATTTAATGTGGCATGTGAATTTCTCTGGTACCCTAACATTCCTCTATGTCTATTCTCTGTAGAGGGTTGAATTTCTCCTGCACCCTAACAGATTATGTGTCTAAAGTCTTTGATATTGGTACATAGGGCTCCATTTCAGAAACTAATTTTGGATTATGTACGAGTTCCTAACATAAGTCTAAGGGCTTTCTGAATACAAAACTACTGTTAATTCATTTTTTGGTAGTTAGAGGAGAATAATTAAAAAAAATCCTGTCCTTTTCTTGCCAGGGCTGGAGATACCTCTTTCTATTTTCTTTTTCTTGACAGAAAAAGCTTAGTTAGCTCTATCTATGTTCCAAAATTTGCTTACAGTTATCAAATAGAAAATGTAATAATTTAATGTAGTTTTTAGTTTGTTAGCTCTGTCACTTGATTGCTTTCCGGTGCAGGAGATTAGCAAAAATACACTATTCTTAACACTGTTCAGAGTAGTTTGCGTAGGTAGCATATGCACCAGTAGTCATAGAGTAAACAGTTGCCAACTAACTAATTTTCTCCAGTCAAAACTTACATTATTGTCTTGCTACACTTTCCCCCCATCCCAGCATTTTATTCGAACAATCTGCCAGGCTTCTATGTTTCTTTAAGGTTCTTGAAGTTCTTATTTATTTTAGCTCTAGTCTTTTTTAGCTCATTCCTCTAACTTCAACCTTGTTCCTTTTGTGCATCTTAAACCTTGGGTGATATTTGGATTTGTGTTCTTCTGTTTTGTCTTTCTTCTCTTCGGGTTAACCTGATCCAAGATCCTTTTTTTATGCCTAGATTATTAATGTAAAATAGTTGTATGTTACTGCTTCTTTATCTACTTCCTTTCTAATTTTTCATTTTTCCGTGGTAATAGACTGTTCTTTGCGCTTGCTCTTAATTGTGTCTCAATTCCATTTTGATCCTTTCTTGCTCGCAATCAACTCTCGAATATATTGCACATACCATCATGTTCATTTCTAATGAAAATCTTTTTCAGGCCAGAAACAGAGGAGGAGAAGATATTGAAACAAGAAATAGATAATCTAAAGAAGGAGCTCGAGAAAGATTCAACTCCAGGTTCAGAATCTGCTGGGGACCAGCCCACATTACATGAAACACTACATCATAAGGAAAGAGAATTAGAGAAACTTATCCGAGATATGGAGAATAAAGCTAGATTTGGGCAGAAAGCTAGCGAAACGCCTGTTTCTGGATCTGGCAGGAGTGGCAGCTTCTCTGATAGACCACCCTCTCAGTCTGGGTCTAGTGATGGCTCTAGAAATATGGAGTTCATGGATAGACCCAGATCTCGTGGTTCTGTTGATGCATGGTCAAGACCTGCTGATGACCGAAGAGGATTTCAGGGAGGATTTAAAGGTGGCAGGGATAGAGGATTTCTGGGAAACAGAGATTTGGAGAGGTAAGGATATAAAATGTTACCGGTTAATTATCTCTTGCCTGTCTGCTCTTTCTTCATCTATCTTTATGGAAACTGGCCTCCATACCGAGTAATCCCTCACCTCAACCCCCCTCTCTTTCCACTTTATTGATAAAATGATATAATAATTTACAAGTTTTAGTAGAATGATTGGCATCTAAGGTCTTTTTTCATCTATCTTCATGGAAAACCTGGCCTCCATACCGAGTAATCCTTCACCCCCTCTTTCCATTTTATAGATAAAACTGATACATCCCGATGAATTGAAATATCTAATGTTGCTTTCAATTATCTGCACATCATCTTATGTTGGCTTATGTTGCTCTTTCATAGCTAAAATTTTAGCTAAAGATTGCTATTGTAATACTAGATAGTACGAATGTGCCGGTAGAAGCCAGACTGAGTCATATGGCTAATGGAAATTATACTGTTTTCTACATGGCAGGCCAAGGTCAAGGGAGAGATGGTGAGCCCTGGAATTGGCGTTGTTTTTTTAAATTCTGTCCTCAACTTTTGACAACCCGAACCAATAACATTTTGTCGCGCTGAATCGCATCTTGTTTTAATTGTTCTCTGCTTTTTGGCTCTGGTAAGATTCTTCAGTACCGGGACACTGAACTCTGGGATAATCTATTGTTACATCTTTGAAACTTTGTAAAATGGCCTCACCACCACTCTGTTTTTTGTTTGTACACTTATTTTGACTCCAACTTTATTAAACATGCAATGTGGGATTCAGCAGTTCATTGTTAAGTTTCCTTTTGAAATGTTTTACAGATATATTGTTGTTGAGGATAGATGGAACTATCTTTTTTTTTAGGGAAAAACCAATTAGTTTTAAAACAAAATCTTAATCTAAAAGGCATGAACAACCTTTAAGATACTATATAAGTGAAATCTTACTTTCATATTGAAGGATGAATGAAAAATAAGATTGTTTGGATGAAAATCTAAAGACAATTTGGGTGGAAAATGAAGAGAGAAAAGTTGAGAATTCTAAGGTAGTGTGAAAACATAGTGGTTATGATTTGTTTTAACAAAAGAATATATAAAAAATATTTTAAGAAACTATTGACACGACAAAAGGTTCATGCTGTGACCTAAGGTTACCCACCAGCACAGTCGAAGCAGCGAATGTGTTATGTAGAAGGTAGGGTCATATCATTGTTAACAAACACACCTTCCCCAAATACAACAATTACTGAATCGTACATGTAGATACTAATTTCCGTCCATATTTTTTATTTTATACATATATACACATATATATTATACAGTTTGCAAATTGTTTTTGAAAATACATATATAATATATAGTTTAAAACATTTTTGAAAATATGTATATTATATAGTTTTTAAATATTTTTGAAAATTATATATATAGTTTTTGAAAACGTTTTTAAAATATATATAATATACTTTTGAAAACGTTATGAAAACATTATATAATATATAATTTTTAAAAACCATGTTGAAAATATATTTTTTGAAAATTATATAATATATAGTTTTTGAAAACGTTTTAAAATATATATAATATATACTTTTGAAAACGTTATGAAAACATTTATATAATATATAATTTTTAAAAACCATTTTGAAAATATATATAATATATAGTTTTTTTAAAAAAAAACATTTTAAAAATTTATATATTATATGTTTTTGAAAACGTTTATATATATATATTATTATTATTTATTTTTATTTTTAATTTATTTATTTTTCATTTATTTTTGTGCAGGGTCCATGTCCAATAACAGTCCAAGTCTAGTCCACCGAACGGGCCTGACCCAGCCCGGATTCCACGCTAAGGTTTCCAATGTTTGTCATCAGCGCCGCAAGGAAGGGAGCGACACAGTCAGTGCCCAGCGCACTTCCCGGCCACCAACGGGACTGAACCATCCCGAGGCGGCCGGCGGGGAACAAGGGATCACAACAGCCCGTAACAAGAACCCCGGAAAATCCGGGATCGACCCCAAGATAGCCGGAAACAGCCCCCATCGGGACTGTATAAATACACAACAGTACCCACGACGAAGAGGAGGGATCATCGGAGAACCCAGAGCCGAGGGAGAACCCACGAGGCATCACAACCAAAAACTGAGAACACAGTGAAATAAGACCACCACGGTCGAACAAACCGAGCCATCACAAAGCCGTCAACAGAGAAAACAAATAGTAAGCCAAACACCACAAACAAGATAGCCAAACACACCAACAACCGAACAGAGAACCCAAAGAAAATCAATAAACAGTAAATCATTGAACACAACAAGCCAAAACCAAAAGCAGAGCAAAAGAAAAAAACATCGGAGCACATATCAAAGAGGCCATCGGAAAAGCGAGAAGTCACCGGAAAGGTAAAACCCGAAAGGGTTTTCTTTAGATCTACTCCGACAAGGGGGTTGTTTGGGTATTTGAGTGTTGATTTTGGGTTCACGGGGACGTGAGGTTTATTTTGGTGGGGTTCGGGTTTTCATAGGCCGCCGGCAGTGGCGGCCGGCGCGGTGGCCTGAGTGGCGGAGGAGACACAAGGCGGCGGCCGGAAATCGCCTAGGGAGAGTTCTGGGAGAGTTGAGAGCTTTCTCTCGGCTGAGGGAGAAAGAATTTGAGAGTAAATGAAGATTATGAAACGAAATTCAGCTGGTTTGTATATATATATAGCAGGGACCATTATGCAAATAGAAGATTCTTTAATTCTCTCTGCAGTCCCTGGTAGTTTAAATCGCATTTCAATCTGGCCATCACTTGTAATTTCGTCTCTGGATTCTCAATTCATTCAAATTGGTCACCTTTTACATTTTTATATATTTTGTGAATTAACCCTCTAATTTTGTTTTTTACAGTTTGGTTTTAGTATCACTTTCAGTGCGCAAGGTCCAATTTAATTCATTCTGATCCTTTTATTTATTTACCTTATTTTGTTTTTCTAACATTTTCTAATTCCAAACTTTAACCTTTTTTATCTATTTTTATTATTTTATTTTATTATTGTTATTTCTTTCCCATATTACACTTTTCACTTTTTCCTCTTATTTTGTTTACTTTTAAACGTTAACGTTTTTAATATTCGTTCTAATTATTATTTTAATATTATTTTTATTTTCCCTATCTCGTTTTCTTCACCTTTTATCTTTTTATTCTTTTATTTATTTTGACTTTAGTATTTTTTAAAAAAAATTCTTGCCATTTGATTTATATTCATTTATTTATTTATTTTTTTCCCTAATTCATTACTTATTTGTTATTTTTTTCCCTAACATCTTCGACTCGTTGTTTTCAGAAATTCCAATTGATCAAAGGTAAGTGATTTGCATCGAGTTTTTAAATTTAAATTTAAATTTTAAATTTTCGCAACTAAGACAATCGACAAATTAATTGGTACCGAAAGGGCGGTTCAAGGGTGCTAACCCTTCCTTGACCGTAATCGACTCCCGAACCCGACACGTTTCTGGTATAACGCAGATCAGGTAAGATGGTGTCCGACCCACCTAAATTCATTTTAAAATGGTCGGTGGCGACTCTAACCCAATCAATCCACGTCGAAGCCCAATTCCGGGGCCCAACCGAAAGACGGTTCCGACAGCTTTGCGACTCCGCTGGGGACAGGTAAGTGAGTCAGGCCAGAATTAATTTCTGGTTGTCTTTTTATGCGAAAATTGTAAGTTTAAATTTTAATTTATTTATTCGGTTCAGATTATTTACCTTTGATTATTTTTCAAATAAATAGTTGTACTAACATTTTTTCAATGATTTCAGATTTTTTAAAAGCTTCCATCTCTAGCTCTAAACCCGAGCTCCGAATCCTATTTAAGTGGGGGTGAAAGCGATGCCTTCGTGTGAATTTATTCTCCGTATGGGCATAAGGGAATGTGTCCTCTCGAGTTTAACTTAGTCCACACAAGCCTGTGATGGGTTTAGGACTAAGGGTCTGGTAAGCCCAAGGGGGCACCGGCAAGGAGAACTCGAGTACCGTTTTTAGAACCTAAACCGGGAGAGTACAGGGAAGTAGAGCCCACCCCAAAACCTCATTCCAAACCCTAGGCTGTTTTATTTCCTACTTTATTTTCTGTTCAAAGCATGCGAACTAGACAAACATGTGGTTAGGTTTTGTTTGAAATTTGCATGCGGGATAGAGATCATGTCCGGGTAGGAATAATAAGCATGTGGGGTAGATATCATGTGGGGTAGCATTTTTCATTTTTATTATTGTTTTGATTTACCTCACTAACCCTTTTACTTTTTGTTCTCTTTTATTTTTTGTTCATCGTTTGCATCATTTAAAACGATGTGTTGATCCACTAAAAATGTGTTTTAAACATGAATAATCTGCATTAATGGACGAATGGGTTATAATACAAAGAGATAAAAGCTCAGAAGTCCAACCGTGATCAAAGATACTCAAAGGCAAAGTTGCAGGGGCAATACGAGGAAAAGGTCACTGACTCGGTCGCTCCTTTCGAAAATACAAGAACAAGATAGTGAAACACTAGCTGAGCTAGATGCCATTACTGACGAATTCAAGAAGCAAGCTTTGGATAGTTTCTCTTGATGGAGGGCTCCAATGACACTTTCGTTAGAAACAAGCTCGGTAGAAAGTGAAAGTCGAAGATGCAGTCCTTCGAGATCTTTTTGGGGCAAGCATCTCATTATTTGCACATTTTAGCCAAAGGAGCCGGAATGGTTCGACAGGATATTCAACTAGTGAAAAAGACGAATCAACTTGTCAGAAGCTGTACAGGATTCGTACCATCAAAAAGAGTTTTTTGTCTCTTCAGACGTAACACTGTTGTCACCAATAAGGGTTATTCAGAATAACAGGCACATTTTTTTGGATCAATGCCTCGAACATTTCATGCATCATATATTTAGACATTTTACATTTTTTTTTATTTTCTTTGCATTTTATTATTTTCTCTTCATTCACATTAACTAACATAAACATGTCTCATCAAAGGGAGCAAATACTGGATACACCGCCTCAAGTATTGGACACACCCCATCCACATAACACTCGTTTAAAAAAGAAGAGGATGGAAGCCAGAATTACACAAATCGAGGAGAATATGGTAAAACTACAAAAAGAGCTAGAAGACAAGATAAACCAGAACAGTCGAAATACTCTAGAAACAATCACAAAGAACCAAGAGTCCTTGGTTGATCAGATCGTTGCCAAGTTAATTGGCCTACAACAGACCAGTGTGCCTGGGGCAGGTTCATCGGAAGGGGTAACTATACAACCTACCCCATAAGTGGTCATCTCACCTGAAATCTTACCAGAACTTCGGGGGGACTCATCGGCGGCAAAAGCAAAGCCCTCGTCCTCTGTATTTAACCTTAAGAACAATCCGGGTTATTACCATGTATCGGATTTGGATGAAGAGGACAAAGCGAAGAAGATGGAGGAAAAAATCAAACAATTGGAAGACCAAATGAATATAGTCAAAGGAGACCGTGACTACCATGAAATCGATGCAACGGAACTTAGTCTAGTCCCGGACTTGGTTCTTCCCCCGAAATTTAAGTCCCCAGAGTTCGAGAAGTTTGACGGGAATAGTTGCCCATCCGCTCACATCACCATGTTCTGCCGAAAGATGACAGGATATGGAGGAAATGACCAACTCCTGATCCACTGTTTTCAGGATAGTCTGTCGGGCTCAGCCATTCGGTGGTACAACCAGCTCAGCCGATCAAACATCAAGACCTGGAAGGACCTGGCCAAGTC